AAAAATCGAACCCCCATATATAGGAAGGAGGACGTTGGGACAGTTGGGTGGAGATCCCAGGGAGAGCTGGACACCATGGAGAGCATGGTCCTGTATATTCTCAGCTCTGAGCTGGGGAGGCTGCAAGGTGAGCCAATGGCCCCGGGACCTGCAGGGCTTAACCAGCAGATCCAGGATGCTGCATGGAGAAGTGGGTTGAGTGTGCAGAGGACAGCAGTGTCCGCGTGAAGCCCTGAGAGCCAGGGTGCCACTGCTATCCATGCGGCCAGGAAAAGGAGCAGGGGGAGGGGCTGCAGGCATGGCTATACTCTGCAGCCCGCCTATTCCTCTGGTTAGGTGGCTTTATCTCCATTTTCACCCAGAAAACTGAGGTGCGGGGAGGTTAAAGGACATGGGAGGCCATAGGACAGAGCTGGTGCCAGGCCTCCCCTCCAAAGGAGTCACCCACCTTGAAGCTGACAGCTCACCTGACACCTTCCCCCGCCCCTCCTCCAAAGGGTACAAGAGGCTAAGGTTAAGGAGCCTTGAGGACCTAGGGGAAGGCAGCCAGGACAGCAGGGACACAGGACAGAGACATGTGAACAAAGGTGGGTGATGAAGGCAGAGAGCTGTCTGCCGACCAGAGCCAGGAAGGAGCCTCCACAGTGCCACCTCCTGGGCATCACTGGCTTCCTAGCGCTGTCCGCACCATCCTCGTGAGGCAGACTGTGGGCACGGAAGGGAAACAGGCAAAGCCCACAGCAGCTGAGGCAAGGCCAGCTCTGGGTTATTGTTGCTCAGACTCAGGTTTGGTCCAGAGTTGGTAGGGTCAGCTTCCCGGCAGGCCTCTCTCTTGCCTAAGATTCTGGGGCCATACCACAGCCGTGAGTTCCTGGGATGTCAGAAAAAGTCACTCTAAAAGCTGCATTGGCTGAGTACTGTGGGGTAAGCAGACGTTTGTTAGGTTCAAGGAGAATACCATCTTGGGCCCACCAGTTGTAACAAGGTGCCCACTAGGCCTAGTCCTCGGTCCCATCCCAAGGAGGTGCAGAGCTCAAGCCCCACCTGGGCTGGTGGACCCCTGCAGGCTGTGTGACCCCACAGGGTCACTTTCCGGGCACCTTTCTTCACAGCTGGAGAACGTGCCCCCTCTCCCCACTGCTAGTGGCCTAGCACTGTGTTGCTGGCCTCTATTTCAGGCCACCTCATCCCCGCCAGCTTTTTCTGGCTCTTTTCACATTGAATCTTACCTGTGGGCCTATCCAAGACCCTGATATGTCTAGACAGACCCTCACTCATCCTACAGATGCACCCCACATGCTGGATGGGGCTGGGAATGAGGTCCTGGGCAGCCACTCCGAGACTGCCTAGAGTGGAGCTGAACGTCAATGATGACCCAGCAAGTGGTCCCCCATCCTGCTGAGCCAAGCACGTGGTAGATACAGGTTTGAGCATTTGAAGACATCAAGGAAGTTTGACATTGCCTCTTCTGTGGGGGACAGATGCTGGAGCATCTCGTGCAGGATGGTGAGTAATCTGGGGTCTGGGGCACACACAGGCCAGACCAGCCAAGAGCTGATATTTGGGGGGAAAGGTCTATGTTAAAAGTTCATCATGGGCCGGGCGGTGGTGGCGCACGTCTTTAATCCCAGCACTTGGTAGGCAGAGCCAGGCGGATCTCTGTGAGTTCGAGGCCAGCCTGGGCTACCAAGTGAGTTCCAGGAAAGGCGCAAAGCTACACAGGGAAACCCTGTCTCAAAAAACCAAAAAAAAAAAAGGTAAAAAGTTCATCATGGAAAAGAATGCTCAAGAAAAGGCCAGGGCTGGGCAGTGAGGAGACCCTCGTGGAAGCAGAGGAGCCAGGGCCAGCCTGCCGTCCTGACCACAGCAGGACATCCCCAGATAGAGTAACGGGGAAGAAGGTGTGGGGGCGGTGTCTGCAGATGCTCGTAACTCCAGACACCCCAGCTGCCGCTCCACCACCCATCATCCAGCCCAGCTGGCAGGGCGCAGGGTCTGTGATAAGGCCTCCCACTCACACACGCCCCCACACACTGGCAACTCATTTCAGCAGCCTGGCAGTTAAAGGGGTCCTGGGCACTCCGGTCAAGGAGAAGCAAGGTCAGAAGCCAGACCACAGCTGGGGATTCAGATGCCCACTCCTCACAATCCTCCCAACTTGTGAAGCACTTTGAGGATATAAATAAGGGGGTTGATTAATGCCAAGGAGGCTGCCAAATTCTATGGAAAAATACTCAGATGGTTTTCTGCTTAAGCATAACAAACGTCTGCTTACCCCACAACACTCAGCCAATGCAGCTTTTGGAGTGACTTTTTCTGACCTCCCAGGACCTCATTTCCAGCCCCACCCAGCATGTGGGGTACATCTGTAGGATGAGTGAGGGTCTGTCTAGACATATCAGGGTCTTGGATAGGCCCACAGGTAAGATTCAATGTGAAAAGAGCCAGAAAAAGCTGGCGGGGATGAGGTGGCCTGAAATAGGGGCCAGCAGCACAGTGCTGGGCCACTAGCAGTGGGGAGGGAGCACACGTTCTCCAACTGTGAAGAAAGGTGCCCGGAAAGTGACCCTGTGGGGTCACACAGCCTGCAGGGGTCCACCAGCCCAGGTGGGGCTTGAGCTCTGCACCTCCTTGGGATGGGACCAAGGTCTAGGTCAGCAGGGCTTCTGAGGGCCCCTGTGAGGACCAAGAAGGGCTGAGGAGTAGCTATTACCTCTCAGTGGTAGATGGAGAGGCAAAAGGAGACACGAAACATTATGGATTCTAGTTGCTTAAGTTAATACATCCGGGTGGGTTTTTAGACAATTAAATTGACTGGGAAAGCAGCATGGTTTGCAGAACACAGCTCATGCAGCCTTTACCAAGCAACTGGCTTGGCCAAGGCTCCGGTGGGTCCGCTATGGTGGCCAGGAACCAGCACAGAGCTGAGAGAAGAGCAGTCTTTGTTCAAAAGACCAGCACACAACAACGGGAAGCAACCGGTCTCCCGGACACCCCTGAGTACCAGGCAGCCCTCACGTCAGCGAGAGACACGGGACAAAACACCAATGTGGTAAAAGCTGGAGAAGTCTAGGGATGGTGACAAGAGGAAATGGGGCTGACCACAAAACGTGCTCAGTGGCCTCCTGGGTACACGTCCCACCTGCATTACAAGGCCAGAAGTGTTTCACGCCTGTGTACAAACCGACACTGACTGCGTCAGGGAGCACAGAAGGGTCCCGAGTTTTGGCGCAGTGTATCCAGCAAGCCCTCTGCGGGCGCTAACTCCAACACCGTCACCACCAGTGTGGTGCATGCAAACACAGACACATGCATATTCGTGCCACACAGAGACACAAAGTCACTCATGGGCACACACACCTAATGTGCCTTGAACCGTGTGCTCTCTCACCAGCAGGGAGTGTGCAGGTTTGGGGATATTACTTGGAAAACCCTGGGAGCTGATCTCACCCTGGGCCTGGGCTCACTCTGAGCACGGAGGCCTCCACACTAGCTCTGTGTCTTGGCAGAGAAGAACCGAGCTCACCGTCCCCAGATCCTGAATCACAGCTCAGGACAGAGGGAGGGCCACTGACAGCGGGTGACCCACATCTAGCCCGTGAAGAACGTCAGGAGAAGGGGCACCCAAGCCTCTCCCACCAAATGTGGCTCCCCATCTAAGGTACAGAAGAGAGCTCGTTTCCCGTTCCGACCAAGGCTTCTGCATACCATCACCCTCCCCGGCCCTTCGGGGCTGGAGGTCCATCACGGGGCCTGAGCAGCCCTGGGCATTACTCAGTGGTGGGGATGAAGACAAGCTGGTAGAGACGCACCCCAGGGTCTTGAAGATCCCTATTTTAGGTTCAGAGGATGCTTCCAAGAGGAAACACATGTGAGAACCCTGGTGGTCTGGTATAAGGCAGGTGTTCAAACATGCTTACACCTATGTTGTTAAATTGTAGGTGTGGTATCAGCTACGTGACCTGTGGGTTGTCAGACTGTAGACTGTAGACCAACCCTGCCGTCAGCATTGGTTCACACCCTCACCACGCCCACGAGAGGAGACCCTGCCTATGTCCTAATTCAGCCCCAAAGCATCTTCCAGTCAGGATGAGAGAGGTCAGCGCTCCTGGGCCCTCAATTGGCTCAGATTTTCATCTGGAAGCTCGATCAGGCTGCAGTGTCCGAGGAGGAGGAGGAGGAGGAGGAGGAGGAGGAGGAGGAGGAGGAGGAGGAGGAGGAGGGTGATGTGGCAATACCATCTCGTTGGCAACCACCCACTCAACACCCTCATGGCCTCACCAGGCCTCCAGCCCACCCCACTTGGGGACTCTTATCCAGATTCCTACACAGTTCCCTGACTTCCACTCACTCTGTACCCCATCCCCAGGAAATCACAAGAGTGACTTCCAATAACCTGCCTGAAATGATGTCTCCTACCCCCTCTACACACACACACACACACACACACACACACACACACACACACACACACACAGGCCCTGGCTCTGCCTGGTGACCTGCTCAACCAGCACCAAGTAAGACCCTTCCTTGCACACCTGCGAGCCTGCAGAGACCTCCTTGGGGCATGCAATCCCATACCCTGCTCAGAAGACTCAGTTAAGAAACCATCTGGGATACCCAAGGTGAGCCAGGGACAGGACTTCACCAGCAGCGAGACGTCAACAGCAGCCCTGCCATCGCCCACCCACAGCTTGGAATCACTACTTCTCCTTGGCCATAGTTTTTAGGGAAATACCATCCAGTCCCCCAGTGCCTCACCAGCATGAGAACTCGTGTCTTCAGGTCTGGAACAGAGACCCAGCAGGCTTGAGAAGGAGAAGCTACATGGGGACCCAGAAAGACTACATGGCAACCCCCAAATCAGACAGTGAAAGTTGTGATGGGTCTGAGGGCAAATTCCTCCCATGTCCGCTCAGCCAGAGCCACCCTGAAGGCCTTGGCATTCATTCCTGGTCCCCTCACCACAGTCCCGATAGGCAACCCCTGTCGGATCCTACCTCTGGCGGACAGCTTCTTGGTATTAATGATCTTGGCTGCATATTCATGGCCGGTACAGAGCTTGACGCATCGTCGGACCACAGAGAAAGCCCCCCTAGAGAGGATGCAGGGCAGGAGAGAGATACAGGGGGGAGAGACGGGGAGAGAGAGGGAGAGGGAGAGGGAGAGAGAGAGAGAGAACCAATTAATCTCCCGAAGACACTTTGGAACCTACCCACTGCCAGGCCTTAGGCACATGGCCAATGAGCAAAGGAAGCCTATGCCCCTCCCACACAGTCCTGGCTACCCTACTTGGCAGCAGTAGGATGGGGCCAGACAAACACTCTTGTGGGGACTTTGTGAGGAGGAGCAGCCATGCCTTGAGGAGGGTCCCCACTCAATCCCTGTACAACACCCAGGTCCTGATCCATCGGTCAGCTGGAATGAGAGGCACCCTCAAGTTCATGATACCCTGGCATGTCCTTTCCAGAGGCAAGGCCAGGCTGGAGCACAGGCGTACTCGGGATTGATGCAGCTGGATGCAAGGACTACGGAAGGGAAGATTTGAGAGCAGCATTGTCTCGCTTAACTGCAAAGTCAGAGGCAAGGACCCCTTGGGATACACAACTGTCCCTGTATCACAGAAGAGGACATGGAGGTCCAGGGTGGGTCACAATAAGAAAGTCCTAGAACTCATGGGTGTGGCTTAAAGTGGCAGCAGCCTGGGAAGAGGCTCTGAATGCTGCCCACAAAGCTGGTGCAGAGACCTGGAGCGGAGGGGAGAGGAGGCTGGACCAGGCCAAGCACTCCCTGGTCCGGCCCCCACATCTACCTCTGCACCCCTAAGGTACTCTTCTCACAACACCACGTCTCAGATAGTGACCACCACTGTTTCTTTTTGGTATAGTCCTTTGAGATGAATCTTTATAAAAATATACTATTCACTTTCCTAGGGAAGAAAGAAGTCACTGGTCTCCATCTGGCTCCTGAATGGCTCAGGCCACCACGGCCAGCAGTTCCGCTCCACAGCCACTGGGCTCAGTGGCTTCAATTCTGGGAATGAGACAAGATCTCGCCCAGGCTGGCCACCATGGCCTAGCGGCTGTGACCCTGTGGACAGGGTGAGGGCTGCTCAGGGACGGGGGTGGCAGCATGCCATGTGTCCTATCAGTAGCTTCTTGTTCCATTTTTCCATTTATGTGCAAGTTACAGTCTCAAAATATCCCTTTGTAAGGAAAATGTAAAGAAAGAGTTATTTGGTGTTTCTCTCTCTCTCTCTCTCTCTCTCTCTCTCTCTCTCTCTCTCTCTCTCTCCCAGTTTTCTTCTTTTGTTTTGTTGTTGGCCATGTTGGAAGGAACCCAGAGCCTTCCACACTGTAGGGACGCACCCCACTCTGAACCGTACCCTACCCTGGACTACTGTCCTTCACAGCCACTGTGTCTGGGCTGGCTTCCTCCTGTCGGTCACTTCCTGGTTTCGCAGGTTGATGTACCGCTAAGAGACTCAGTTTCCCCATCTACAGAGTGAAGCAGCAGGGTCTCACAGAGCGGCTGTGTGGCTCTCTGTCCCAGGCGGCCGCATCTGCTGTGCGTCCTCACTTTCCCTCAGGACCCGAGCTGCCATCTGTGTTGCTCATGCCCACAGAGCGCAGTGCCCACGGCCTGGCTGTGCAAGCATCCTCTGTGAGGTCCCGGCCAGCCCCTGAAGGAGTGGAGACCCTTCTTCCTGTGCCAGGGGCAAGACCTCACAGGGGGCCAAACCGTGCCTGTCTGAGATGTCAGATACTGTCTCAGTTGGGGAGCCCATATACAAAGCAGGGTAGAGGCCCCTACACCCTCTCATCAGCAGAGCAGGCTCCCAGCTGCTGACCAGACCCAGGGAAGGACACGAGTGTCTGTGAGCCACAGCCCAGGTGCAGCGCAAGGGTGTCCATACACAAAACTACCAAGAGTCTGTGGTAGGTGGACAGTCTACAGACTGCTTGGAGGGCTCCCTCCCCAGCCCAGATGTCCCCCTTTCCTCTGCAGAAGAGGCTGTGTGCTGTCAGCTCAGGCTTGGGCTAGGCACCCAGCAGGGCAGGAAGAAGCCAGGCCTGGGCAGCTGCCAGAGGGAAGGAGGAACAGGGATGAGGCTGGGAGGCAGGGAGGTACAGGCACAGCCAGGCAGCCGGTAAGTTCTCAGTAGGAGCAGCCCATGGTGAAGGAGGCCTTGGCCTCAGCCACAGGCAGGAGACCCCACTCTAGTGACTCAGACACCTTCCAGGGAGAAGGTCGCTGCTATGATGTGAGTAGGAAGGCCGACCCCCGGATGACTACTGTGCCTGTGCTCAGCGCCCTGGAGCCACCTCTTCCATCCCCTGGAAGCCAGCTCTGAAGAGGACTCCTCGCCATCACAGCCATCCCCCAGACCACTGCAGGCCTGGGGAAGCGGCTGCAGAACTACCCTCTCCTTCTCCAGTGACTCTGACAGCCACCAGATGTCACTGTCACAGGAATGCCCCCAGCAAGTAGCCACAAACATGTTTAGTAGGTACCACACAGGCAAGGGGGGGGGGGGGGGCGGGCTGACACCTTGGACATCTCCAAGGGCCAGGAGACCAACGTCATTGCTTGTCCCCCTCAGGACTCACAGCACCTGTCACTCAAATGAATAATTACTGAGAAGCAATATGGACAAAGATCTTTGGTCTAAACTGTGACCCTGTCCCTGCCTCGGGCTGACTCATAGGCATCCTTCAAGACCCAATTCACACGACTTAGGCTCCTCTGAGTATCACCCCTCACAGGGTCTCATGATAATTTTTCCCGTTTGTTTCCATCCCCACCCCCACCCAACTCCATACTCCCTAATACCGGACCTAGGACTTCTTCATACCAGGCAAGCGCTCTACCATCTAGCTCTCAATTTTTCTTTTTTTATTTTTTTTTAATTTTTAATTATTTTTGGAGCTGAGGATCGAACCCAGGGCCTTGCACTTGCTAGGCAAGCACTCTACCACTGAGCTAAATCCCCAACCCCTCTTTCTTTATTTTTAAAAAACTTTTTTTCATTTTACATACCAATCCCTGTTCCCCCTCCCTCTCCCGCTCCCTCCACCTCCTCTCATACCCCCCCCCCATCCACTCCTCAGAGAGGGTAAGGCCTCCCTTGGGGAGTCAGCAAAGTCTGGCATGCTAAGTTGAGGCAGGACCAAGCCCACCCCACCGTGTCAAGGCCCATTTTTATTTTTTAAAGACAGATTGTCACCAAGTTGCCCAAGCAGACCTTGACTTTTTTTTTTCTTTTATTGTTTTTCCAGACAGGGTTTCTCCATGTAGTGTTGGTGCCTGTCCTGGATCTTGGTCTGTAGACCAGGCTGGCCTCGAACTCACAGAGATCCGCCTGGCTCTGCCTCCCGAGTGCTGGGATTAAAGGCATGCGCCACTACCACCTGGCACTTATTTTTAATATGTAATATTTTAATTTATTCTTTTGAGAACTTCATAGATGTACACAATACATTTTGATCATATACACCCCCACTCCTCTCTTCCAACTCCTCCTGGGTTATCCCAACACATCCCCTTCCCAACTTCATTCTTCCCAGAGTCCACGAAGGCCTTGAACTTTTGATCTTCCTGCTCATCGTTTTGAGTGGTAGGGCTTGGATTCTCCACTTTATTATGACCATTTGTCTGCCCATTTCTGCCCTTCTCCACTGGGGCTCTCTACAGGCAGGCCTGTGTCCTGCCCACCCTCAATTCTGGTGCTAGACCCCGCCCTGAGTCTATGACATGGAAATCAGAACGACTGAAAGTGCCGCAGGTGTTTTGGATGCTGGAGCTGCTGGATCTTGGTGCTGGTCCAGCCTAGCAGTGCAAGAGTGGCTGCTGGTGAACAATGGCCAGGGAGAGGAGCAGGAAGTAAGAGGGGCCTGAAATGGTGCATCAGGAGGGGTTCCCTCAGGCTCCTATAAAGTAGGCAGACCCCATTAGAGTGGCCCAGAAAAAGGGGGTCGCCTACCAACACTGAGATTACATAGTCCGACTCGGAACGGGCAGAGTCTGGGGAATGGGAGCTTGAAGCCCCTCTGCACCTAAGAAGGCAGGCAGGATGGGCAGCGGCATCACTCACCTTGGAAAACACCACTGGCTCCCAAACCAGCCACCTACCCTTGGCAACAGGGGCAGAAAAAGGGCCAGAGGGAGCTGGACACAAAGCGATTCAGCCCGACACTCCTGCTAGACACTGCGTGAACTTCATCTGAACACCAAGGTCACCTGTGAGACGCCTGGTGTGGGCCGTCTGCTTCAGAACTAAGGAGAAGGTGATTTGAAGAACCCATTCAGATCACGAGGCCCCAGGGCACCGACCCGTTGTAGGGCTTTTAAAATCAAATAACGCTAATTAAAACAAGAAAATACTCTTTGAGCCCTGGGTTGCTGAGAACTCCAAGTGCTGTCTCATTTACCACAGGATCAACAACAGTACCCAGAAACAGGTCCTGAGAGACAACGCTGAAGAATTAATTCCACGCAGGACTGGAGCCCTGGAGCTGGTCAGCCAGAGGCCACTACCCTGCCCACCTGCTTTATCACAGGGGTGCGGTAGCCTTTGCAATCCCCGGGGGAAGGCTCCAGGGGAAAACGATCCGTCCTGTCAGATCACCACAGGTGACCAGAGGAAGTGTCAGAAGGTGTTCAGTCTTCAGGGAACCCATCTGCCCCTATCTTCTCAAGAGCCTGGCAATTCCTGGCCTATGACAGTCTGGCCACCTACTCTCCCCAGCTCTACTATCCTTCACAGGCAGCATCTGGCTTCAGGATCTCCAAAGACCCTGGCTCTGAGATGTCTCCAAGCCAGCCGACACCAGGAGCCTGCTGCTTGTTGCTAAGCATCTGTGGTTCCCACAGACTATGTCAGAACTCCCCATTCCACTCTGTGGCCCTCTCCGTCCTATACCTGGCCTTGCTAGCTGCAACTTAGCCCTCTCCTGCTGTCCAGGCTGCCCCCTGCTGCCTCCTCGCAGTACGGCCACTGCAGGCTGAAGCTGATGCCCACAGAGGTCGGTAGTGACTGACTCTGGCCAAGATTCCTGTTGTGGAGGATCACGTCAATTTCACTCTGACAAAGAC